CGAAACTAGATTCCAGAGTTGACTACGGCTAATGGAGGTTCTTGGTGGAACGTATACTGAAGCTATGCAAAGATCTTTGTTCTTCACATTTATTTGGCAAGCAACGATTTCGACGCCGGATAGAGCAGGAAGGGAAATTTTGTAGAAAGGGTAGCACTTTTTGATCCCTAAAAGTACTCCTCCATAAGAATCGTCTCTATCCAGGCGTATAATGTTAAAATCGTGGAAGTTGAGTTCTTTATCGGAAGAAAGCCATGTTTCACAGAGAGCAAATATATCACAATCAGAATTGTGAAGTAAAAATTTGAACGAGTCTAGTTTAGGCACTAGACTACGGCAGTTCCACTGTAGCACAGTGATCATATCTTCAACCTCGTTCGACGAATTATCCATCGAAATATATGATTGATGCAAGGAGGGGCCATGAAACAGTCAATTGCTTAAGATATGATTCTAACGTTGGAAGCAAGGCAGAAACTAAGCTTCTTAGAGGGTCTTGTATGTTGAACATGTTTAATATGAATTCCACAATGTCCGAAAAAGCTAGCAAACCTCGTTCGGACTTGGATTTCTTTTGAGAAGTTTGAGGAGCAGCTTTTTTATTTTTTTTATCTTTGTTGGGCAATGGCGGAAAATTCTTGCTGCATCCAGGGATTGGATCAACAGGAGCCTTCGGTTTTGTTTTTTCATCCCCATTACCCTGGGAATTTGGCAATCGTCTGGAGGTGACTTTAGTTTTCTTACGGCGCACTTTCGGGGAGGGGCATTTTCTTTTTGAGGAACCGTCTATTTTTGAAGGTGCGTGTACCACCATAGAATCACCTTCATCGGATGAGTCAGAGTCCGATTCTTCAACTGACAAAACCGAAAATTGGTTTGCATCTTGGACGGCTGATGCAGCCTTCAACATTTGAGCATATGTCTGCTTGGAGCGTCCAGAGATTGAACGCTGCACTTTATCGGAGTGCTGTTTGTACATCGGGCACTCCTGCAAGGGGTGAGGATTCTCGCCACAGTAAGCGCATTTTACTGATTCTTTGTGGCAAGAATCCTCTTTGTGGTTTTCACCACATTTGCCACAACGAGTTTTGTTGCCGCAATGGCTGGCCGAGTGTCCCAGCCTTTTGCAGTTGGTACAATTATATACCCTCTGTACAAACAACCGCACCGGAAAAAAAAGCACCATCAATTTTAACAAAGTTTGGGAGAACTGAACCTGCGAAAGTCACCCGGAACGAGTCTGAATGTTTATAAACTTTTTTACCGTCTAGCAAAGATGCTGAATGCAGTTGCCTTACATCCAGTATCTTCACTAGCGCGGTAGCGAATGTCGAGTTTTTAAAAGTTCCCGAGGCATGTTTCAAGTCCTCGACAGTCAGACTCGCGTCGGAGACCACGCCTTCTATCTCCACATCTCGAGAAGGGATGTAGATGTTGTACTCAACACTAAACAACTCGTGATCAGCAATTTTATTTGCCACATCATAAGTCGGTGCTTCTACACGCAGTTTGTTGAATCTTTCTTTGTGTACCAAGATTCCCGGATACTTACGCAGCAAATCTCTCGTTATGTCGAGAGTTTTCAAAGGTTTATTTTTGGGCCGAAAAAAGACAACCCATGGTCCTTTCGAAGACGGTTCATAGTATCTGGTTCGCGTAACGTAGGCATCGGAAGATGCCATAAGTGTTGCGCAAAAGCGGTGCGCAACCACTTAAGAAGGAAAAAAAATAAAACCTTCACTAATTAATTAATTTTAATTACTAGTAATTAAATTTTTTGCCCGACGTACGAACAAATCAAAAAGAAAAAAAAAAATCGAAACAAAAAAAAACTTATATCTACTTGCAAAAAGTTGTCTCACTATGACCCATACTCCCCTACCAGGGGTGAGAGACAGAGTCACGCGCCACGAGGCAAAATTAAACTACAATAGGGAGGCAATGGACTTGCAAAATGTATTGTCTAATACTTATGCCGGTTGTAAACAACCTATCAGCCGTTGCAGCTAGATGGTCCGTTTGCTGCTGCTGGTGGTGATGATTGGTGTTGGTGGGTCGGCACGATGATGATAAAATGACTTGACGACCGGATGGATTACCGGGGTGAATTAAAGCTGGATGGCAACTCCAAGGGGCTCGGCCCATGGAATTCCACTTCCTCTGTTGCACACTGGTCACTTGGGGCACCCAATGGGGGGGTGAAAAAACCGCTCGGGCGGAAAAAACACCGAAAAAAATTAGATGCCGCGCGACTGAGACCGGGACGTTGTTAACCGACTGAGTGTTCAACTAGGAATGGTCTATATTCGAAGCTCATTGTCACTGTCAATTGAGTCACTCAGTATCATTTGATATACGACAGTGGAGTATGGAAGAAATCCAGCAAAATGGTCCCGAACAGACAAGTCGACCCGATGTCGGATCAATGTAAGGCTAATTTAAGGTCGATGTCGACCCAATGTCGTGTTGTTGTCGGGTCAATTTTGGGTTTATGTCGGATCAATGTCGGGTCAACATCGGGTTGGGGTTTGATAGAAGTCAGGTTGGTGTCTGGTTGACTTAGCTTTTTCGCCGGAATGTCGACCAGAGCTCCGTTTGTGTGTAGGTTACACTCAATTGAATGATATATAGCGTTTCTCAAATGAGAATGATCCATGCCTTCGTCAAATGACTAAGCAACTGATATCACCCATTCGGAGGAGGTCCCCTTTGATAGCGAATAGCTACTTTTCTCATTTTCATCAAAAATGTTCAAATGATTTTGAGAATTTACAGCACTGGCTCACCAGTTCAGGTTTTTGTCAAGGTCCTGGATCTCGCAACTATTTCTTACTTTTACGTGGCAAAATCAATTCAAAGAATATTCATTTTTGTTGAGTCACACAGTCTTGAAGATTCCATCTTAGGGGAGGAGTTTTAAATGAGAAAATTTTAAATGTTACTTTAAGTTTGGAAATGTTGACCAAATTTTTGACGGTATTCCCTTCTGCGATAACGAATAGGGTAAGGTGGGATAAAAGTTCGTTTTAAGGTTTTCGACGCCCTTTCAGAAAAAAAAACTCTTTGTTTTGGCACTTGTCTGGAAGAGATCTTCCCACAAAAAAAATCACAAAAATTGGTGGTGTTTTCGAAGAATTATAGGGAAAAGTGTGTTTCGGGATGATAAATTATGGCGAGGGCGTATAATAAGAAAAATTCAATATTGAAGGGGTAATTTCATTTAAGGGCAAGATTGCGATTTTTCTTTAAGATGATTTTAGGAGTACCTTTCAGATTTTTGATATGTCATCAGGATGGTGGAATAGTGGAGAGTCGTGTCTAAAACGCATTTATTTTCTTTAAATAATAATATATGGAGCAGAATGTGACAAAAACCTCGACATTATTTTTGAGTGAATTACGTTGTTCTCCAAGTTCTGACAATATCTGGGGACAAATATGTGCACATTTATGCCCTTCATACCATCAAGAACTATTTAAAGAGTTGTTGTGGAAAAACTTCCCAGAAATTGCCATTACACGCAGACAAATCTATCGTTGAAACAACAAATTTTGGGGTAAATTTAAACGTAAACTCAGTTTGTTCTAATCACAAAAATAAACTAAGATGATTTCAAACGTATTCCATGTTAGAAGTCATGAGATATCAATGTTTAAAATGAAAATAATGGGGCTTATTACGGATGTCACTTCACGGTGAAAACTTGTCACTTGTCGTCACGGTGAAGTGATTCCCATTTGATTTGTACGGCAATCACGTCTCTTATTCTGAATATCACTTCCTTATCACCGTGTAGTGACACCCGTAATAAGGCCCAATGTTACGTTTATTTTAAAAATATTCGTGTTGAAAATAAACGTGATTATTTTTGTTTGATTTACAACTATGTGAACACAAATGAATATGTTTATTTTAAATATTCTTTTCACTTTTAAAACAAATACACATCTTTTAAAATTATTTTAGTAGGGTAGAGAACTACTTCGGCCTAATCGCCCATTTTGGCCTATCGAGCAGAAAACTTCAAATAAACCCATGATTTCAGAGTTAACAAGTCATTTATGCGTTTGGTACGGTACTTTAGTTAATAAACTACCGAACGAAGTCAATGAGAACGAGTGGTATGAAGGTTTTCACCCATTATTCCCAAAAACAAAAGAAGCGCTCCGACCGAATCAATTTTTAACTTCATCCGATAGGCCGAAGTGAATTCAGTGGCGTTTCAATGCATTAGGCCGAGTCTAGAATCCGTGGGCCGAGTTTGGCGTCAAGAAGCAGTGTTAGACTTTTAACAATATCTCAACGATTGGTTTCTCTTTATCAAATCTTACGTACGTACCGGAAAGGTAAATAAATTTGGAAGCCATCAGTAATAATAACATTCCGTTTGGTGCTAAACTGCGCTAGATTAAGAAAGGCTAAGTGCGAGTTGTGCTTAATAGGCCGGAAATGGGGTAGTTAACCCTATCTCATACTTTCTACTCAGCAAAAGTTCTGAGATTGATCTTGTTTTTTGTTGGAGGGGAGTGGTTAGCAGATTTTGAAAAGGGAGGCATGGAACAAAAAAAAACTCCGATTCATATTCCTGAGCGACACTTGCTTTCGAAGAAAACGTATTTTTCATGTGGACTTTTTTTTTGTATGACAATATGATTATGAAAACAAGAGAATAGGTCATTTTAAATTACCGCAACATTTGTGGATGCAAGTCCGGCTTACCCTGAAATCTGCTACAGGATTTTTTCAAACGAACCCCTGGGGGTCTTGACTTATGCAACGTGTTGGCAGACCATTCTTCAAGTTGAAAAGTTCTTCTGTTTACGAATCCATCAGCACATTCCAAACGAATGGGTTAGACTAAATAAACAAAACTCCAAACCGAAGTTCATCCACTCAACATTGGGAATGAATAACGCTTAGCCAGCATAAAAGTCCGAGATAAGGGCTAGAGACTGTTCTCTCCTTTTAGTAATGTATCGCTTCTTTTCTCACATTTCAGCTACCTAAACAATTTTCTTTCTATTGGATGCCTGGTACATGCGGATTGACCCAATGAAATCAACCGAAAGTGCAAATAATAATGCCTCCTTAGTCATTTGAATAGACCACAACATTGAAATCCGATATTAGTTATTCTTTGGCTGTTCAGCGTCTACTGTTCTGGTTGAAGTTACGCGAAAGATAATTCACACGAAGCCAACGCAGTATGACCAACAGTGTTAGTAGTCAGTCGAAACATTTTGGTGATATGATTAGAAACATGCTAGGATCAGCAGACCAGCAGCAATCTGTTCCGGACATTGGAGTCAACGGCAATAATAATATTAAGACCTTCGTTAATAACAACAATGCTACAGACAATAGGAACTATAATGTGAATAGTCATCAAACCAAAAATGCTGCGTCATATTGTTTAACATTGCAGAACAGCATAAACTTGTACAATTTCTATGCTAACAATGATAAGCGTGACGCAACCAAAGAAGAAAGTGCAACGAGCAGTAGTACTGCTGACCAAAAAGACATTGTAGATAAACCAGAAGAAAAGTCAACTGTAGCTTCAACTATACTTAGTACAAACGATCACAGTAACAAAAATGACCTTCAATATCAACACCACAACTATTCCAAATCATATGATAGTCAACCGGGTTGTAAACTAGAATTCTCATATGATGATCCTGCTGATAGTGATGATCATGCCGATTCCTTGAATGATAGTGTTTCTTTAGCAAAACAACAATCGTCAGAAAACATCGTCAGACAAGAGAATGTAAGTCCTACCACCCCAGACCATCACGCTCGACGACCTATGAATGCTTTCCTGATATTTTGCAAGCGCCATAGAACCATAGTAAGGGACCGACATCCCAATTTGGAAAACAGGTGAGTCATAACAGGAATGTTTACACATTTGTTGGTTTATTTACTAAAATGAGGATCTCTATCTCAATACAGGTCGATTACCAAAATCCTTGGTGATTGGTGGGCGAATTTGGAAAAAGAACAAAAATCAAGTTACACAAATCTCGCAAAGCAGGTAAATATAATTACAAATAAATGAATCTAGGCTACTAAAAATACTTATGGTGCACAATATTTTATCCTTGAACAGTACAAAGATGCCTTCTTTACTGCTCACCCGAACTTCAAGTGGTATAAGCTACCAGCTCCACCGCTACGTCCTCAATGTATGCGACCGGTAAAGACCGAATCTGCCGGTTTAAGCTCCGATTACGAATATTACAATGGAGCTTTGTACGAAACAGTCCAATCAAAGTGTGAAGTGGAACTCGATACGGAACAACGCACAACCATCACCACCAGTGAGTTTATTACCGCCGACAGTGATTTATCATACGAAGAACCAAAACCTGAGTTGAGTCCAAATCAGGAGGAATTGGAAATGGGTGTCTTCAAGTTAGCAGATGAAGCACACATGGGAAGTTTGAATAGCCTTATGACAGATTCATACGAAGGAAAGACAAATCAAAACGGTAAGTGATTCATTCCAGGTGACGTGCATGCAAATGTTCTGCCCGTGATTACTCCTTTCGTTTAAAATCTAAAATAAGCTTCATAATACGGAAATGTTATATGCACCAATAGAAAGTGGACATGATTTGTATCTTTATAAACTGACTGTTAAAGAAGTTACTGTCGGAAAAGAAGTTTAGGTGAGCAAGTTCTTCCGAATGCTAGACAACCAGTAGTTAGTTCTGAACTATCTTACAATGCGTCGCAAGTGTGCATATTAACGTTCGGTAGGTGCTATGCTATGAGATCCTGACCATCTTGGAAATTGTCGTCTTTAGCCAAGTTGTTCAGGTGACCAAGGCTCCGGATGGTTGACAGATGAGTTCAGAATTACTCTATTTTAACTCTCTATTTGTTCCAAATTCAAATCAATTTACATTTATGTTTTAAACAAAGTTTACATTGTACCAGGGAGGCAGCTTCATAATCTTTTTTTCGGAATTAGTGCAACAACTAGACCATATTGGCACAGCGTAAAATATAACCGGTCTAAACATTTGTTTAAATAGTTATAATAAGTTTTGCTGAGATCTCCACAAAAACAACTGATGTTAGCTTGCTGAGATTCATTGAAACATGTTTTGAAACTCAGTAGCCAAACGTTACTTTTGCTGAAATCTCAGTAAGCCTTATTGCCCAGCTACTCGTAGGTGCCGGAATGAAAAAAAAGAGTTTTTTTTTTTAATTATTTACATAAGTAATGCCCTGCTAAAAAGTTAATTTCACAAAAATAAAACTATTCTACTAGGTACTTTCAGTGGCGTCGCTTAACCTCACTTTTTATCTGTGCACCAACATGAAAAACGTGATACCTAGCAATAATTACACCCAAATCTGTTGCAAAATGCACATAATCTTCTAGTTATCTGATCTGATATTGATCCATCGCAGGTAATATTTTGAGATTTGTGAACGTTTTCAGAGCTGGTGCACAGGTAGATTGAGGTTGGAGTGACGCCACTGGGTACTTTTATGATCTTAGATTTTGGCTGTGAAGGAAACATATCAATTTTAAATTGTTTTGGCCTAATTTGACTTAGTTCTGTACGTCAGTCTTGCTGAAAAATTGAAAAATTAGAAATTTAGATTTTAGTCGAAAACGACCCAATTCAACTTGTTCGCAACTACAACCTATTGAATGCTGATTTCTAATTTTGAATCGCAATTGTAAAGAGCAGTTTTTCAGTGCAGTGTAGCTCGGCATTTTATTTTGCTCGGTGTCAGTAAAAAACATGCCGAGATTCAACTAATATACGAGAGTATTGCTGAGATCTCAGTAAAAGTAAATGATGATGATGGTCCCACCTCTTACCCCTACAAAGGTTTGAGCTTTAAGATAATTAAATATGACATTTTAACCAGGTTAGCAAACAAAATCGAACTGGTTTCAGTTACAGTTACTATTATCATTACTATTACCTGTAACGGTTGTTATTGTCCACCTCTTAGTTCGCCTTTTTGTCCATCTAAAATATTCATAAGTATTAAAAAGAATCAAGAGTTAATGAACAATCAACAAAGCATCCTATTACACTAGCAATCCCGCAATCTGATGCTATCATAATTTTCAGCAATGTCAGGAATGCTCACGAACCCCCAACATTTGCCAGAAAACTTACTTCTAACTCAAGCTATCTTCCAAATAAGCTTCAAAATTGCATTTTTTTTTTATTAAATTTTAAATTCAGTCCTCTATATCCGTTATACACGCGCGAGGCTCAAACCCTTGCAGACTACTTTTTTTTTAATTAATCTACTATTAAATCAAATATTAAAAATCCATCATCACCATCGTGGCGAACAGAAATAGTTTTTGCAGTGCTACAATAATTATTAAAAAGTCGTTATGACAGCTATCCATATAAAATAATCCGTTAGAGATAACTTCGTCAAGATACATAATTTGTCAATTCATAAAAAAAAAATCACTGGATAACTGACAATTTTAACGTGTGAAATGCAGTGTCTTTTAAATTATGTAAGTTTGATATGTCTAGGCATTGAATTGAAAACATTTATTCCTTTATAATATAATGAATTTTGTCAAGCAATGTGGTGTTCTTATTTCAACCGCATTTCTAGTATTATATCTATGAAAATCACTTCCTCTTTCAATTCGATCACACAAATATCGAGGCAGCAAACCGTTAACTACTTTGAAAATGAACACCATAGTCAAATATACAATTCTTTGCTTCATCGACAACCATTGTAAGGCATCTAGCATCAAAGTTGAGGAAGTGAATCTATTACATCTCAAAATCAAACGCATTATATTATTCTGCAAGCGTTGTAATCTCGAAAAAAGTCTAGATGAGGAGAGATGAGAATTGAGAGATGCTGTATTTTACTGGCAATAGTTAAATCGTTTTTCAGTCGACATAGAATTCCATACTTCTTGGCAAGTTTTTTGATGACATTGTCAATGTGAGAGTTGAACTTAAGCGTGTCATCAATAATCACGCCAAGATATTTAATCTTCCGAACGCGATCAATAGTCTCATCATCAATTACAACAGAGACGTTCTCATTTACTCGATTCCGTGAAATTACCATAAATTTAGTTTTAATTGTATTCAATTTCAACTGCTTATACTTCAACCATCTACTTAGAGAACGCAAATCTTCATTCAAGTGTCAAACGGCATCATCTGCAAAAAGATTAATGTCGCAAAATCGTAAAGCACGTCGCAAGTCATTAATATACATAATAAATAACAGGGGCCCTAATACACTTCCCTGGGGCACTCCAAGGTTATTACCCACGGGACTGGAAACAGAATCATTAAAAACAGTCCGTTAAGTTCTGTCAGACAAATAGCTTTCAAACCATTTATATGCAGTACTCGTAATTCCAAAGCGCTTGATTGATCTTAACAATAAGGGCCTAGAAATTATTTCAAAAGCGCGTTTAAGATCCAAAAAAACAGTAACAATTGTATCTTTACACTCCAAGCTATTTTTCCACTTCGCTAATACCAAACTCAACGCGGTTTCACAAGAATGACCTTCCCGATATCCCGATTGTTCTGGTATCAATAAACTATTACTATTTAAATACTTTAACAGCTGGCCTTTAACAACAAGTTCTAAAATTTTCTCTAATGTATGCAACATGTTGATGGGACGAAACTCTTCGGCTTTAATCGTTCCAGCAACTTTTTGAATAGGGAGCACTAAGAATTCCTTCCAAATTTGTGGTACATGTCCAGTTTGTAATGATTCATTAATTAGGTCCAGCAAAATGTGGCCAATGACATGAAACAATCTTGAATAACTCTAGCATTAACATTATCTACTCCAGCCGATTTTCCTAATGAAAAACAAATAACTCTAAGTTCACCTAATGTAATTGGGTGAAAACCTTCAAATCTACAACTATTATTAACTGGCTGTTTTATTTCGTCAGGTTCATCGACCAATTCAATGGATTGATTAATCAATGCAACACTGTCTACAAAATAATCATTAAATTTAGCTGCAATTACTTGTTCTGACTGTTCTAATGTGCCATTAAAAGTTATGGACCGCGGTTTGCAATTACTAGGTTTTAATAAAGGTTTCAAAATTTTCCATAACTCTTTGCTGTTGTTTTGATGCTGATCAATCTTCCTTTGAACATATTCACAACGAGTTTTCTTTATCGATTGTGAGTACTTATTACGCGTGATTGTGTACCTATCCAATGATTGATCTACAAAACTTTTTGTACCATTTGTCCCTTTTCCGTTTAAGACGCAAAAGATCCAAATTGTACCAGCTGTTCGAGTTCTTCAAAGAAACAAACTTTTGTTCAACTAGTTGATTAGTACACGTTTTCAAAGCGTTATTTAGAACAGCTGTAGATTCATCTAAGTTACCGGCCGCGAATGGAAAATCCACGGTCCTCTCAACAAGATTCGAAACAGCTTGCTTCGAATATTTCCTCCAGCACTTCAATTTTACAAAATTATCGTTATCGTTAACATGGTCTAAGACATTAATCACTAAAGTCTCATGATCGGTTATTTTCAAATCAGTATCCGTAACTGAACAAATGGAATCAAAATTGGAATAAACGTGGTAAATTAAAGTTCTACTATGCCTGGAAATACGCGTATATTCATTTACCGTTTGCTTTAAATTAAAAAAAAAACTCAGCTAAACGCTTCAAATGATTCGAATTATGGTATTCACGCCAATTAATATTAAAATCACCAGCCAATATATTTAATTTACTAGAATCAAGGAATGTCTCGAGCTAGTTCTCTAAAACTTCAACAAAACGCTGGTCACTAGAACTTGGAGAATGATACAAAACACCATAATTACCCATCTTCATGCCACGTACAACTGTAATGCCCAAGAACCAGTTGCCATCAATAACTTCGTTGGTACGAAGGTTGAATTGAACTGATTCTTTGACATAAATAGCAACACCGCCAGTGTGTCTAGAATGTGATAAACAAGCAGCAACACTATATCCCGGAATACTATATTGATCAAAAGCTTCAGTTTCTACAATATGAGTTTCAGATAATAAAACTAAAAGAGGACGTTTTTCCTCAGCAATCTGACGTAATGCTACGTAGTTTGTTGACAACCCCGCAATATTAAAATGCAAAAAATCGAATTGATTCACATTCCTGAATTCTGAGCAAAAAGTCTTTTATAGAGCAAACATTCAGAGCTAAATGCGGCATGGTTGACGTCCAAGTTCATTTTACGTTCTTTATTCATTTTCAAACAATTAATACATTTCAATACAGTTGACGTACACTCCGACGTTCTGTGTTGTTGGCTGCACCTAGAGCATCTCTCACAATTTTTGCAATCCATGCTCTTGTGCCAAATTCTCCACATTTGAAGCATCTCAACACATTAATCGCGGGAACTATCGAGCACCGATCAAACCCTACATTTACTTTTTTCGCACATAACAAACGTTTATAGATAGAGCTGGAATTAGGGCGTAACAGCT